GTTGTTCATGGTCACTTTCGCGGCGTACGCACTGCCGAACACACTCTGGTGCCACATGCAAGTGCGGATCCCGTCAATAATTGTTGTAGGCCCGAAGGATTTGAAAATGGCATAAGTGGCGTAGGATGCAGCTGCACCGCCTGTAGTTGTAGACCAATTTATCAAGGCCATAGAGAGGAGCATGCCAGTGCCGCAGACGGCCATGCAGGTTAGACGATTGCCATAAATATCAATGAAAGCACCTATGAAGGGACTGAGGAAGAATCCTTGAGTTTGTCAGCTCTATTCGTATTTGGGCTGTGATAAGGTAGACAGCGTGTCACATACCTGCATACTGTGACAAGGACGCATACCACCCCGCCTCCACGGCGTCGATACCAAACCTTACCTCCGCCAACTCAGTTGCATTTTGACTGAACACGTTTGAACAACTTGTTTGCACCATTGAGAAGATCATGATGGTCCAGAACACCCACGGTAGCTGCAACACTTTTCTGAACTCAAACTTTTTGTTGTTCTCGGTTAGCACCTCGCCTGTAGCTGGGTCAGGGGACGAGGCGAATCGCTTGTTGGCAGCTTTCGTAAAGAAGTAAAAGACCAGCGTGCAGACGTTTGTGAAAATGCTAACGATAACGGATATCCAGTAGACCCAGGCGAAGTTGCCAGTATTCTGTGCGGTGTGAGAGGGCTACTTCCAACATGAATAATCAAGGTTTGAGGAATGGGAAAAGTACCTTGGCGATAATATTGGCTGTAGAACTTCCAAGAAATCCTCCGATACGGGTGATTCCAAGCTCAAGACCAAGTGTGGTTGCAAAACCAGCACTGGGTGGGAACCACGACGAGAAAACTTTGTATTGAGCGATCTGCGTGGCGATGTCTCCCAACGCGGCGATGATTCGTCCAAGGATCATCAGTTTGTATGATTTTCCTGTCGCTGCCCCAGCTACGACGAAACCTCCTGCTGTCATGATCAGATTTCCATACAGCATTGCTCCTATAATCCTTGTCAGTGCTCAAGTATCAAGGCCAAGATTGTCCCAGAGCGGCTAGAGGATTTACCAGCACCACCAATCCGGTCGGTAACCATGCCCGATATCATCATCAGAGCCGTCACCATAAACTCCTCGCTAGCCTCCAAAAGCGCAAACTGAGTATTGTTAATCTTGAGCTCCCGCTTGATTGTGCTCTTCATCGAAGAGGTCAGTCGTGCTGACCATGATGCCCCGAAGCCGATGAGGCAGCACATGAAGACTGATGTAAGTTTCCATTTTAGAGGTACGATAGGACGGTCATCGCTGGGTGTGATGGAGGCCGCGTTGTCGGCTTTAATGGTAACTGATTGAGCATCCTTTGTTGTTTCCAGATTTGGGGTAGGAGTAGGTTCCGCCATGGTACAATGTCTGGTTACTAATCGAGAAACGCCAATCTTGGAAAAGAAGAATTGTATAGGTGCATAAAAATACTCAAATGAAAATAAAGAAGGGAAGACATGCTTCTTATACAGTACCTTTCAACTCACAAAGGTGCCAATACCACACAGTGGGTTAAACTTTCCACCATTTCCCAGTATTGTAGAAATGCCTCCCCAATTTCAACACACAGCCCCTCGATAAACTCCGTAGCAACCCCGACATCGCAGACACAACAACAGGAAACTGGAAGCCAATGTCACTAGCAAAAATTCATTCGTCTTTGCTACGACGTTCAGCCTGTAATATGCTTTCACGATACCCACTTGGAAGTAGTATGTTTGGCGCCAAGCGTTGGCACCAAGACATTAACACGGGTTTTTGAGTTGTCATCTTATCAGATGGAGGTGATATGTCCCCCGTAAGATGTGGCTTGAAGAATTTTACATCTGTGAAGAGAAGATACTTGCAGCGGTGGGAATGCCGGGCGGATAAGTGTGGGTTGTGTTTGATGTTGAGTTGAGGTAAAGATCCACGTCGAATGTGCTTCTTGCGCTGCATGAAAATAGCTATCGCTGACCAACCTCAAGGTTTCTTACAGCTGAATTAATGTCCATCTGCGCTACCCCTAATTTTTGCGATTTAGTTATTGATCAAATAGATAACCATCTTATAAGATCTTGAGATAATATTAGATAAGATCACGCCGGTGCAAAAAACCTCCCGAATTCTCCCGCTTGGTGCACGGCTGGAAAATCGCTCTTCTTGGCTGCAGACCCAAAAGATGTCGAGCCCGAATAAGTCATGGGTTTTGGCCGAGTGCCAAGGTATGTTAGGGTGCTGCCGACCGTAAGTGGCATGATGTGGCTTTCTGAATGTAATCAGCATAGCAAGCTGATGCCCCAGTCGAGGGTGACTTGTGGGGGAGTGTAAGCTAAGAATGCGAGATGTGGAGCTCATTTAATAGGTGAAAAATCACGAGGGATGTCTACCGCCACTTTTCTGTCGGCTCAGACGCTAAGTTGGTGTGCAAAGTCTCCCGAAATTCGCCATGCCGTGGATTGCTCTGGTCCTAATTCTCTTGCCTTTCGCATACAGCCGATTGTCATCACCATCCATCTTCCATTGTATCAGGTCACATCATTTCTCAACGCCATCGAAGATAAATCTTTCATCATCCAGCCGCTTCGAAATGGAAAGATTTACACTCAAGAAGGTGAAGGAGGAGGCAGAGGTGGAGGGCTTATACGATGGTCAAAGCCGCCCGTCGATGGCCGCAGGAGACACGCAGATTAAGATTTGGGGGCGCGGGGGAGGTCACGGAAAGTGAGATTAAAAAATCGCATGACCAGCGTGATACTTGAATTAAGTCTTTTTTTGGTTCTTTACTGCTGACTCATTTGATATGGAGTACGAAACTGATATCACAATCTTAGAGTCGACGCGTCTAAGCAACTCCGCTAGCAGCGAGCATCTCCTTCTAGCCAAGAAACAGAAGGTGCTCGATTCCACTTATACTCCGAGAGATAGTCCATGTACCCGTGCTGGCGGAAGTCAAAAAGCTTCTTCCACTCAGAAAGAGAGAATGGTCAGTACCAGCGGAAGAGGAATGAACATGGCGGAGCCTGTTGATCAAGGTAGTTAACGATGGGTTGAGGCGGAAGCAGAGGCAGACAGAGAGCGTGCCACTCCTCTAAAGCTGATGGCTCCACAACAGGTCGTCGAGTGTTTTGAAAAGTGACTGGTTGATATGAACGAGCTAGACAACTACATGATCATCCGATAGGCTCTGGTCAATGTCTACTGAGGTCCTTTCGGTCACTCAGAGCTATGCAAGCTTCAGCGCATCTGCTCTTCTGGAGTAGCTCTTGAGGATACTGCCACAATCAAATTTGTCAAGGGCTTGGGAGGAGACTTTGGCGGAGGAGGCTTGGCGGATGAGGAAAACCCTGTGATTGGTAGCCTGATTGGAGTGAGAGTGGAGGCTACGGCGATGGTAGGAGGTACGAGTAGTGAGAATATTGAGAAGGCCTTGGTCAACCCCAAGGATTTTTCAATGTCTACTGCTCAATAGGCTCATCAACTTATCAACTCAGCGGATTACTTGAGTGCTGGTAAACCAACACTAGAAGTCCCAATTTTGAACAATCTACAGGATGGGATCTCTTGACAGGAAACGCATGTCGATGCCAATACGAAGACAGCCACGCAGAATATGGACCCTGCGGAGCCAGCATATGTCATGGAAGGCAAGAGAGACAGACGAGAGACCTAGATGGGGCAACTTCTCAACGAGCACGGCGATTACGCTGATGCCTTCAGCCTTCCCTCCCTCTTCCCAGGGATGAGACTCCGCACGTTCATTTATCGCCATCCATTTACTAACCAGTTAATGACAGAAAAGGCGTTTTTTTTGGGCGGAATTAAATGAGCTTTGGAATTCAGGCGATCATTATTTCAACCGGACGATGGGATGAGCCCAGATGAACCAGTAATCAGTCCAGGAGGGAGGGTGCGGAGTGGCAAATTAATGCGCATGAAACGACTTTGCGCGAAGATGAGCTTTTCTGGAACTCATCAAAAAGCAAATGCTTAGACAGATTGATTACTACAAAATTGATTTCATTCTTTCATTGCAAACGTGATTTGTGTTGAAGTTACGGTGATTGCTATGTTAGGGCACCTTCGTCCTTCAGTGTGCTTCAAGACAGTTTTTAAACCAAACCCCACCAACATCAGATCACCAAAGACAATAACGAATGATTAGCCGTGGAGGAAGACGTTATAAGCTGAGAGGCTTTTGACGCTAGTAAAGTCCTCCATATGTATTGTCTATGATCATGGTCGCATCACATTTCTATTACCGAGCCCCTGAACCTACCCCTCGTCCAATGTCCGAAACTAAGTTGTAGAAGCGTCATACCAGACTATATCTCATAAGATTTTCCCCGGGGGTATACGGTTTACTTACTCATGACTGAATAGTATAGTTGAGTTTCGCAACATATGAATCGCATTACCATGTAGGGAATTTGAAATTTGTTCCTGGGAATCTGGTGGTGGGGCTGCTTGGGCTACACTGATGCGGGGAGCACTTGTTCCCTTGGTTATATCGAGGAAATGTCAGATATTTCAAAATGCGTCTTGACTAATAAAATGACTCCCTACCTAAAAGAGTGGTACTTGTGTTTGTATAGTCGTAAAAACCCAAGGTGATCAAGAAGAAAAGCTTCAGGGCCAGTTTTGATATTCAGGTGCGGGGTAGTTTGATGGCCTAAAGTTTCTCTGGCCGTAATTCGTGCCCCTCTTATCTCGTAACATACAAAACAGATAGGATTGAATTGGATTGGATAATTAATTGCCGGCTATTCAATGTCCCAGAGGATCTTTCTAATTATTTTCCTCTGTGCTGAAGATATGGCTATTTATTTGGCGGAGGGATCTCGACATCATGTTCTGCATTTGTTGATAGCGGATTAGGTGGTGAAATGAGTAGCGGGCTAATTGAGGGCCGTTCCTTGCCACAATTACCTAGCATTTTTGTATTGTTTGATTGTACCTAGATAAGCGCTTTTTTGATAAAGTCACGGCCTGGTAGCGTAATGGTAACGCGTTGTCTTCCGGTGGCAAAGATTGCGGGTTCGAGGTAAGCTCGTACTATGACTGCCCTAGTCAGTATTGCGCTGACATTCCACGCTAGTCCCGTCTGGGTCGGTTATACATACGCAGTTTGCAGATTTTATTTTGCTTTTGCGGTTGTTGAGATATCTTTTGATGAAGTTTAGGAGCTCCGAGGAGTGTGCGAGTTCGGGCGGAGTGGTACAGGCTAAGCGAGAGCCAGTCCAGTTTAGCGGCTAAGCGAACAAAACAAAACAACCCTTGAGTACTGCTATCTGTTCATGCGTGTGTTACTAAAACAAAAGAGCTTGATATAACCCTTAACTTTTGCCCGCTCTTACTATCTCCAACTCAGTGTATGGGGTGGAAATTGTTCATTTTTGGTACACTTCGCCTTTGAGCCTGAGGCTGAAATTTGGTAAGCAAACGGAGAACTCCAACCCCCACTTCTGTCATCGGGAAAGCTGGGCAACAACACCACGATCACCGGTACGTTCCACCACAGCCGTCCCAAGCAACGTACACATTCAAATACGGACGATGTGATTGGATAGCCCCCAGTAACGTTACATACCCCGGAGTGGGCAAATATGCAAGGCTGAGGAGCTGTATCTCCATCTCTAAATACCTCCAAGTTGCCCCTCATCAACCGACAAAGCAACAACTCACGATGGCACCACACGCAGACTCCTCAATCGACGATGTCGACCGTCTCCCCGCTCCTCCTCGACCTGCGATGTCCCAGAATCCTCCTCGGCTTCTAATCATCGGAGCTGGATCTCGAGGTACAGCTTACGCCAGGGCCACAGGCGAATCTACAAATGGCATCGTCGTTGCAGTCGCAGAGCCCATTGCATACAAGCGGAAGCTATTGGGGGATTCATACATATGGGGCAAGGCTGGGCCGTCAGAGGGTCAGGAGTTTGAGCATTGGAAACAGTTCTTGACTTGGGAACAAGAGAGACGGGCGAAGGCTGCAAGAGGGGAGGTTGTTCCGGGGGGGGTTGATGGCGTATTCATCTGCGTGCTCGATGAGATGCACAAGGAGGTCATCGTTGGACTTGCACCTCTTGGTCTGCATATCATGTGTGAGAAGCCGTTGGCAACTAGTCTTGACGACTGTGTATCGATATACAAATCCCTCCTCCCGGATCTGCCAAATGCAATTCCTTCGAAGATATTCTCCATAGGCCATGTCCTAAGATACAGTCCACACAACATGTTACTCCGGAAACTGTTGCTCGAGGACAGGGTAATTGGGGATATAATGTCTGTTAATCACACTGAACCTGTGGGGTGGTGGCATTTCACACATAGCTATGTCCGGTATGTCTACTCGCCTCATTCCGCAGATCCAGACTGACCAGTACCAGAGGCAATTGGCGTAAAGAATCTACGACTGCACCCTCCCTCCTCACGAAATCTTGCCACGATATCGACCTTCTCCTCTGGCTCCTTTGCTCCCCGCCACCGGGATCTGCCAATCCCGCACACATCCCAACAACAGTCAGCTCGTTAGGCGGTCTACAATACTTCAGCAAGACTCGAAAGCCCAAAGCTGCGGGTAAAGCAACAAACTGTTTGTCATGCCCAGCAGAAAAAACATGCAAATACTCCGCGAAGAAGGTATACCTGGGCAAGGAAAACAAAGGACTGGGAAGCGGGAATACTTTCTGGCCAGTCAACATCGTGCTGCCAGAGATTGAGGAATGCATAACCATTGGAGGGACTGAAGCAGGTGAAGCAGCTCTGACAGTCAAACTTGCGGAGGACTACACCAGCGAGACACCAGAGGCTGAGGTCTCGGGGAAGAATTGGTTCGGACGTTGCGTATACGAGGCTGATAACGATGTAAATGACGACCAAGTGGTTACCATGCAATGGGACAATGATGCAATCCCTACCGCTGATGGAGACGCAGAGAAAGCTCTTGTTGGCAGGGGAGCAAAGACGGCTATCTTCCACATGGTAGCACATACCAAGAAGCAGTGTGATCGCTACAGTCACTTCTACGGCAACGATGGAGAGATCTACGCAGATAGCGAGACCATCACTGTACAAGACTTCAACACGGGTGCCACGAAGATTCATAAGCCGCATCTTGCTGGTGGTGGCCATGGAGGTGGCGATGATGGGCTGGCGAGGCAGTTCATTCTTGCTGTTGATGCGGTCAAGAACCATGGTGTCAGTGTGGAAGAGGCTCAACAAGTACATGTTGGATGTAGTCTTGAGGAGGTCATTAGGAGTCATGCGATGGTATTTGCTGCTGAGCAAGCCAGGTTGGGGAAGAAAGTTCTTGACTTCCCGGCTTGGTGGGCTGAGAACGTGGAGGCGAGTTTACTGAAATAATGTGTCCCTGGTCACTTACATACATACAGCCATGAATCTCTGAAGACATGATATGAAACTCAAGTCGACTCTTGCCTCCACCTGCTCCTGCCTACTCCCCTCTGCTCACATCTATACACAATATCTTGTTAGCCTATTGATACATTTAACTTCACGAGTTGCTCCATCCACTAGTATCCACGCAGTGAACATCTATTTTTCATCATGAACTTGGCATTTTACTGAATGATTGTATGACTTGTAGAGTTCCTCAAATACCTCCGAAATTTCTCGCCAACCTCCCCTGAAATCCGTGGGAAAACAATTGATCTCCATCGATGTAAGCTTCAAATTAGAGCTCTCTTAGACATTATTCCCCTTACATCCCTCAGCCCAGTTCCCAGCACGACCATTAAATCCATAAGGCTTATCATTCCAACCATACGCAATAATCCCATTGTCCACACGGAAGCGAGAACTCCCACCATGGGTACCAATTGAGCCGATCGGAGTCAAGCAAGACACGCCTTGCTTGTTGCCCTCCATGTAATTATCGATCTTACGTGTCATATCCTTGAAGTCTGCAGAATCGTGCATCTGGTTATAGGAATCCTGGTTTCTACATGCAAATATCAACGTCCTGCGAATCCTTCGGTGAAGCGCCGAGTACTGGTTGGTCACTTACCCATTTTGCCAGAGATAATCCGTCACGACGCCATAAGCTCGCTGTTCGAGACGCTTCTCAATACCGGGATGGCCAAGTGCCATTCTCTTACGAAGATCCTTCACATGATCACTGTCTTGGATTCGGTAATGATGGAATGTACCATCGTTTTCGTAACCTAGATCGTCGACTGTTGCTTTTCGGTACCTGAAAATAGTTGTTAAGCACACGATGCTTCAGCACGATGTGGGAAACTTACATTAGATAGTGTGATTCTTCGTTGTCCCAATAGAATGTTGCATGTCGCTCCCAGGTTCCATTGTTCTGTGTCGCCATGGATGACTCCTTCAGTGATCGATGCAAGAGCGGAATGTGTGCCTCTGACGATCGTTTTTCTTCTTCCGGATCAACCCAATAGGCATGAGTTGCAAGCCCGTCACTTCGAATCCTAGATATTGTTAGAGATAAACGTCAAGACGAAGAAATAATATTCCCGGAAAATATTGAGACCAATTCTCTGTCCGTTCTCAGAATTGTGGGGGAAATACCGGAATCCCGATTTAACTTTATATCCCGTGGCGAAGACACTGATAACCAACCCAATGGAAGCAATGATGCAATCAGACCTATCATACTTCTGCACACAGTCTTTCGCAAGCCCATAAGCTGACGCTCCGAGGCCGAATAGTCCCACTGCCCAGCTGACAGCAGACCAGACCTTTTGAGCAACGAGGGTGATTGCCAGAGCGACATACACCGCGCCTTGCCTTTCGACAAGGTCGGTTGATCTGCCTGCTACGACGACTCCTTTCACGCCTTCCCATGCTTTTGGGTCCGGCTGGATGAGTGTCAGTTGATCGATCGTGTATGATACTGGTGTTGAATATGCTTACAGGGATGGAGGGGAACTCGTCGTTTGGGAATAATCCTTCAAATTCGGGGCTGTCAAGGATATCTGCGATTGCAACAACGCAGTAAGTGAGAAGAAGGAACACAGCGGTATATGATCGGTAACCCATTTTTGAAAGCTTTTTTTCTTCCTCTTTGGATATTCTGGTTAGATGCTGGAGAAGGCTTTGACTTTACAAACTTCTGGGGCTTGGACGACGTTAAATAAGTCGTCTTGCTCTTCCTACTGGCGGTCGAGTTAGTAACACGACTTTGTCCTGTTGATACTTTTTTGGGTAACCTGTATACCATTCTGGATACCCTGTGCGATCTTACATGTCAGCAAGGTTCGTCCAACCGACACTTACCTTATTTAGCTCATATAATTTGGGTTCTTTGGCTAAACTAGCGCAGTACCACCTAGGTACTGCAGGTAGACTCTAAGTCCGCTATCAATCTGACTATAAGATTTTTCGCTAAAGACATCGCTTGCATCCTTAGATGTCGTGATGATTCCACGGTTTCCCAATGCGGAAAGAGGGCGTGACACCGAGGCATCGTGTTACCATCAGCATGCACCCCACGATCCTACTGTGCTTACTGAGCCATGTTCAGGACATGGTAATAAGCTTTGTACCTCACGAAACATGGGGTATCATAGGTCGGATAATATGTTGCGGCTGAAGCACTTTGGCTCATATCCAGTTCAACATGGTCCCGGAGCACAGTCAGGCGGAATTTCATCCGAACTGTGGCTATTTACCCTGCCGAGGAGCAACTTCTGGCTAGCTTCCGGATCGCCATATGAAGGGAAGCTGAATTGGTGGTTTGGGCTCATATGTTATTCCGGGACTTTTCTGTCATCCATGCTGCACATCAATATCAACGAATTAATTGTCGGCCGCTAGATGCAAAGTCCCCTCGATGGGCAATGCAAACCGACTTTAGTGACGGAATATGTAATTTTCTGCAGTGTCGATAATGAGGTAGCGATTACTCAAAAACTAATACGAGGTAAGCATATGCATGATAACAGTCATGAAATAGCCATGCACGTATTTCAAAGCAGCTTTCTCAAAAGCCTCAAGATGCTACTGGGGTAAAGTTCCACTTCCGGGGGTCTACCGATTGGATAGAACTTCTTCGTGATCATGTATACTGCTTGTGGGAAAGTCAG